GTTTATTCAGTGAAGATTAGAAGAGAAGTAAGGGTGAAAAAATTATTTATATCTAATAAGTGATAAACATGTTAGTATGTGCTTTCATTTATTAATTCTCACTTAATTGGTCCTTAGTATGGTATAATAGATAAAAACACAGATTCTGACGCTGAAGTGCTTGGATTAGTGCCCGACCTTTAGCATTTACCAGCTGTATAACCTTAAGCACTTCTCTTAACCTCTCTGTGATCTGATTTTCTTATCTGTAAAATGTGACCATTATCATTTGCAGAAAGTGTGGGCTGTAGAGTTTAAACAGGTGAAAACTGAATAGTTTGTTTTCAATTTTGGTTCACTCATGCCTAGCATTTATTCTAGAATCTTTAGCTATTATTACTCATTAAATGGGTGTGAAATACTAATTGCATCTATTTTTAAAGATGAAATAAATAGTACAGTGGGAGAGTGTTAAGGAATTTGTCTGTTATTAAGTACCCAAAGGTGACAGTAATGGAACCATGACCAAAGTCTGCATTTTAGTTAAGGTATAAGTTTGGCTGCTGTCTATATTATGGAGACCTATAATAATAGCATGCTAGAAGATGACGGACATTTCAGATCTTCTATAAAAGTCTAATCTTGTATGAAGAACCAGCAAGATTTCAAGGACCCAGCATTCTTCTATCTTCTTGTTCTACCATTCTTTTTAAAAAATTTTTTTTAATGTTTTATTTATTTCTGAGAGAGAGAGAGACAGCGTGAGCAGGGGAGGGTCAGAGAGAGGGAGACACAGAATCCGAAGCAGGCTCCAGGCTCCGAGCTAGCTGTCAGCACAGAGCCTGACACGGGGCTCGAACTCACAAATCGTGAGATCATGACCTTAGCCGAGTCAGATGCTTAACTGACTGAGCCACGCAGGTGCCCCTTGTTCTACCATTTTTAAGGTGTCCTTGCAAGCCCTGTCCAAGATGGGAATGGTGAAGAGGGAGGACATGTCTCTTCTTTTAAGACAGTAGTTCTCAAGTTCAGGGTAGACATTAGAATCACTGAGGGGAGGGTTTAACACCTGAGATTTTCACTCACTTGATCTAAGGCCAAGATATTGTTTTTGTTTTATTTTTATTTTTTTGTTTGTTCTTAAAGAAATGATTTACTTGCTTCTTCTTCAGCCCGTTGATGAGAGAGGGATTCCTGCTCTAGGGTTATGGCGATGACCAAACACACACACCTGGCACCTGACAGATGAGATTGGAAGCAGTTTAGAAGTTACATATACTCATAGCCTGAGTGAGGTGGATGCCATACGACACATGGGGCCACTTGAGAACAGGAGTGAACAACCAGGAGGGGTGGGAAGCAGGCTCTGTAGTATCAAGAGGACAGTGTATCTCCTGGTCCCAGTGAGAGGATGTCATTGCCTTGTCTGAATAATTTTGTGGACTGGGAGGGTACTGAAACCTGCTATTTAGGATGAGCGGGAACTGTGCCTGATCAAGAAAGAGTATTGTTTAGCCAGGGCACCTTTCCTATACGGGCAGGATGATGAAAGCAATGTGCCTTTAGGCCATTTTAGGCCCTTCAGGTTTACCAGATGTCACAGCAACATACAATGTTGAACCTTAATTTTAGGCCTTATACCATGACAGTCCATGATGGGTTTTCAAGGTTGGCTGGCAGTGCATGGAAGTACCTATTTATTAAGTTACTTGATTTTTTTTCTTCTTAATGGTACACAGTGTATAACCTTTTATCCACTTGTGCATTATTTTCAGTGCCTCTGTATTTAGAAGTCATACTTCTTGCTTCTTTTTCCTTTTCTGCATGATTAAATGCCACTTTCCTTCCAGGTTCAGCTCACAGGACTTTATTCCCCTGTAAAATCTTTCCAGGTGGCTCCAGGAATTGTGCTTTAAATCCTTCTATCAATGCTTCTTTTGAATTATTTGATAATAATCATCACAGGAAATTGTGTTATTTCTTTATACTATTTTATTATACAAGTTATTTAATTCCTTTATCAGTATTCCATTTTTTATGTTTATTTTGACTACTCAATTTGATCAGAAACATCTAAAAGATATACACAGAATCTTGTGCTTAGTTTTGTCTCTACAGTACTTTGCACTGGACTTTCACAGAGTACATGAGTATATGCATTTGATATACACATGCAAATACGTATCCACAAATACACAAATAACAAATACAGTTAAGTGGTATATTTAATGTACACAACTTTTGGGATGTAATTAAAATGCAATATTATTTTGGCCTCTCACTCTACATTGAAATTGTATTCAGCAGTCCATTTTTTCCCCTTGCCACTAAATAAAAACCATGGCAGACTTCAGAGCTTTAATAACCAATCTTAAATAACAGAAAATCTTGAGGCACCTGGTGGCTCAGTTGGTTGAGCATTCGACTTCAGCTCAGGTCATGATTTCACAGTTTGTGGGTTTGAGCCCTGAGTAGGGGTCTGTGCTGACAGCTCGGGGCCTGGAGCCTGCTTCAGATTCTATGTCTCCTTCTCTCTCTGCTCCTCCCCTGCTGTGCTCTCTCTCAAAAATAAATAAACGTTAAAAAAATTTTTTTAGAAAGAAAATCTTAGAGTTATTTTTATTGACAGAACATTCTCAAATTTGGAAAAAAAAAAAAACTAGAGGGGCACCTGGGTGGCTTAGTTGGTTAAGTGTCTAACTCCAGCTCAGGTATGATATGATGGTTTCGTGAGTTTGAGTCCTGTGCACTGACTGTGCAGAGCCTGCTTTGGATTCTCTCTTTCTGCCTCTGTCTCTCTCTCTGCCCTTCCCCCTTCATACTCTCTCTGTCTCTCTCAAAATAAATATATGATAAAAAATTTTTAAAAAGAAGAAAACAGTAGACTTTCTTATCCAATGTATTAAGCTTCTTCAATTTCTGTTTAAGTATGACAGATCTTCCTTGTGGCCCAGTCAGCATTTGCAGTAGGCTGGCTACGAACCTGGGGAAGATGAAGAGGTGACTGAGTTCCTCTTTCTTTTTGTCTGACTACTAAGCCTTTTTCCACCATCATTGTCTCTCATTTCTCATCTCTACTAAAGAAGCCAATTTTGAGAACTCTTGTATTTGGATTAAGACTCTGTAGGTCTCTATACACTTTAGTTGTTTCCTATTTTACTTTACTACATTTCATGGTAAATTTACCTTTATACTTTTTTTTATTACTTAATTTACTTGTATCTTCATTTCCCAACATGTTCTTAGAATTCTTTTTTGAAAGTTGTATTCCTTTTCTCAGAAAAGCATGGTGTTTTTTAAGCCTAAAAAGTTTATCTTTCCTCCTTCCCAGTGGATGGTTTAGAAGAGTGATATTTTCTTTCCTCTTTTTATATGTCTAGTGTATCAAATTTTCTCATGACTTTATCATTGGATTTCTCCCATAGTGTCTAAAGATCAAAGTGTTTCCTTTTACATATGTAGTGTTTTCTTTTTTTCTGTATACTGTATACCTTGCCTCCTTTCTCACATTTTTACCCACACCATGTTCTTGTTTACTGAATGAGGGTCAGAACTTCATTGCTCTTTGTTCCCCTGTCTAGGGCCCCTTCTTTGCTGTAGGGGGACAGTTCTTTCTTCCTGGCCATCTTTTCTTTGGCTCCCCAGAAGCAGCACCCTTCCCTCCATGAGGATCACTAGTATTAGTGCTATGGCCCCACAGGCCAATGCTTCCCTTTATTTTTAAGCATGGAATTCTCTATTAAGTCTATTCAAGTTCAGAAAGTTCTTTTCTATTCTCAGTGTGTGAAACCATCACTTTTTCTTCTACTTGTCTCAAGTTACATGGTCATTTTCTCTTGCTCACCAGATAAATTGCCATTTCTCATCTCATGCTAAATAAAATTTATCATCAGTTCTATTATTCATCATTTTCCTATTTCATATATGTCTATGGTTTGGGATTCTTCTTAGAACTTGAGGCTATTGTACTTATTCTTCCATGGTTAAGAGTTTCTAAGCATTTCATTTCTTCTGTTTCCTTATAAAACTTCTCTTTTATTTGGTACATCAGGCAGAATGCATTATATTCTTCTATTCAAACAGTCAGTAATCACTTTGCTATTCTCTATTATCTTGGCAGTATATCACTGTTTCTTTTTCTATAAAACAGATATTATATTTTAGTGAAGGTAAATCTATATAGATATCATTTCTCGCACATGGTATTCATGACTTTTGTGTCCAAGTTTTAGATATCTTAGACCTATTAAAATGGATGGATTACCATTTTGATACAACACTCAAGTTTAAAAGGTAGTTACTGCATTTTGTTCTTTTTATCTCAGGACACATTAACTTCTATAATGTAATTTTCTTTTAATGTCTACTCTCCATATTATTTATTCTTTGTATTTTTAGTTCTTCTTCACATCCCTTAGATTGCTTTCACTCAATTACTCTGTACTCTCTGGATGCAAAAACAAATATTTTAAGGTGCTTATACAGAGAACTTTACAAATGTTGAGATTAGGAAGATGCGTAAGAAACAGTCTCTGCTCTTAAGAAATCACAATACAAAAGGGAAAACATATATTTAACCCAATTATTAAATTCCAGTGTGGTATGCACAGTGACAAAATTATATAAGTGGACAGAGGAGAGGATTATTGACACTGAAGGTGTGAGGGAATGGTTCACAGAGGCAGGTGATGCTCGGTGGCACTGTTAAATAAATAGTAGATCATCACAAGGACAAGGAGAAAAGAGATTTCTGATAGACAGAATGGCATATGCAAAGCCCTGAGGTGAGAGGCAGCGAGGTCTGTGCTGGCTGAAAAATAACTCACCATTGCTGGAGCATTGACTGTGTAGGTAGGTGTGGGTGAGCTGTGAGAAATGGGAATGGGAAGGCAGATGTGTGGAGGTCATGAAATTGTCTTCCCTATCCACACTCTAGGAGGAGGGTAGACTTCATTTCTATATGTGGGAAGATATTATTAATGGCAGATAAGCAGGGAAATGATTTAGTCAGGTAAGGCTGATTTGGTCACAGCAGAGGGTGTATTTGATGGTAGCAACACAGAAGTCAGCAAGGTAAGTTATGAAGCTATTTAGGAGACAAACTTGAAGCGGTGGGACAACAGCAACGGCGATGGTGATGGAAAGAAACAGGCTTGTTCCTGACTGGACATGGACCCAAGCAGGAGAAGAGAGTCTAGGACAGTGGCAGATTACTGGCTCCGGAGATGACCTACCAATCATGCAGGTACCCTGGATAAAGAGGAGTACATCTTATTCGTTCTTTGTACCACAAACACAGAGTTCCATTGTATCAAGAAGCCTGATCTCTTCAACTTCCTGTCTTCACTTCCTGTTTTGTAGCTTAATATGGTATTTTCTTTGTGAGAAACACAACCCGCTGAGGCAGCCAGGAATCTTAGGACAGCTGCAAGTGGTGGATGCCAGAATCGCAGTAGCTACAGTTTACATCATGCTATATAGCTCATTAAGTGTCTTCTGGATATAGACTCCTTACAGAAGGACTGACCCACAGAATTAAAATTTTGGTGACCCAGGGAGAGCCCCTGATCTGTGATATTTTGCTTCCAAAGTTGAACAATGCTATTTTATACTAAGCAATTTTATTGACATTCTTGGTAAATGATTTGTGTTTCAGATACGCCTAAGCATGTTGTGAGGGTTAAGTGGCAAGTCCCAGCAATATTCCATCAAACCAGTTTCTTGGTGAAACTCATACATGAATGCACACAAATACATTTCCGTATTAAAATCCTCAAATATAATCTGAAAAAAGTAGAATCTGGTTACTGTCTCCTAGAAGAGCCCAATAATATTCATATTTAGTTGGAATGCACCATCTTTTCACATTCATAGCTCATGATTTCTTCTTCCTTTTCCCTCAGTAAATTCCATGGGTATTGTCTCTTCTAGATACTGGAAGTGATTTACTGATCTGCCAAAGTTCTCTTATGTTTCTGATGTTCCTCTAGTGCATTCCAGGGCTTTATTTTCAGACTTTCTTCTTTTCTCCTTGGTCGACTTCCCCCCATCTTTCTCCATGGTTATCTTTCTCATCTTTCTTTTGGTGTGCTCAAAACACTCAGCTGCAATGAGTCTATTACACACCTGTCACCAATGCATAAAGTAGGTCTGCTTCCCTTTGCTGTATAATTATTATTTCCATTCTTGATTTATTTCTTAAGGCTTCACTTGTAGCAACACTTCCCTCACAGTGTTTACATCTGTCAGTTAGCGTAACGTACCTCCCTTTCCCTTGGCGGGACTAAAGAATATTTAATCTTCCTTCAGTGTTCCTAGGAGTATCGTTCTTGCTCTTAGTGCTTAGTAGCTGCGTCCGTTCCTCCACCTAACCCTGTCCCCGCCTCAGCCACATACACCTCTGTGGACTCCAGATGCACCTTTTCCCCCTGCATGCTTCATCTGTTCCCAATGTGATCCAGATGCTTTGTATTTCCTTCCAGGGAAAAGCAGGAACTTTATAAGCCATCCCCCGTGAGTCAGCTTTCCGTCTTTGTGCCCAAGTCTGTTGTATTTTTCCCCAATATGCTACGGGTGCATATGGCTCTTCTCCTTCCCAGCACAGACATATAATATCGTCACCTTCTGTTCTCTTATTCCTGATCTTCTACGTGCCCCCGCTCTACCTTTTTACCTCACATGCTGCTCGGCCGTGTCATCGCAAGCATCCATCAATATTTCTTGCTTTAGGAGGGCAGGTTGCTTCTCCTGCTTTAGGAGAGCAAGAATGTTTCTGTTTCTCCTAGGTTAGCTATACCTGACCTTAGACTATTGTGTATGCCTGGATTTTACTCTTGGGCACTGCAAGTATTTCTCCTGATCTTCCCTGACCTAGTAGAAATATGTAGTGTTGTGTCTTTTTTTTTTTTTTGAAACAGACTCTGGGGTCATCGTTTCCTTTTTCATTTATATCCATTATTACATCAGGTAAACACTTGGTCAGTTTGTTAGGAGCAAGGCCTAATGCAAGTTCTATGCTCATCAAAATGAAGAAGACATTGTTAATGTGCTATCTGCTTTGCACAATATAATCTCATTCCTAAGATTTTGGAGAAATGAGCAAATTTCTTATACAAAATCATTTTTGTGTCTATCAGAACACACAAATAGGGTTCTATATGTCTACAATTTACATAAATTATATAGCTATTCCTCATCATAAACCAGTTATTCTTTTTCTTTTCTTTTTTTTTAAGTTCATTTATTTTCTGTGGGGCACAAATAGGGGAGGGACAGAGAGAAAAAAGAGAGAGAGAGAATCCCAAGCAGGCTCTGTGCCATCAGTGCAGAGCCTGACACAGGGTTTGATCCTGTGAACCTTGAGATCATGACCTGAGCCAAAACCAAGAGTTGGACGCTTAACCAACTCAGCCACCCGGGCATCCCTCTAACTTTTTCTTGAAGGGCTTCTATTTTGTAGAGCCTATTTTGTCTCCTCTCTCTGTGTGTTCCACAATGATCTAGGTTTTCAATTTCATGAACTCAGTTTGCTTACTCATCAATGTGACACAGCAATGCTGTAGCGATACACACTCTCCCTTGTGTTCAGCATATTTACTAGGTCTTCCTAGTGTCTTCCTTAGAATTTCCCCTTAGGTAACCACAATGTATACATTTCATCCTCTGTGGTGTGCCTTATTCATCATTAGCTCCACAGGAATTAGAAAATATAAATTATGTTCATTAACTAGGTCATCATGCTCTTTTGTTTTCCTCTGAAATATTAACTCTTTATGGAGCCTTGCTCTCACATCAGCTTTTTTAATGTAGCTTTCAGCTAAGTAAAATCACAAAACACCTAAATTATCATCTTTCTGGCCAGTGCTTACTTGTCTTTTGCTCCGCAGGGCCCAGAAATTTCTGTCTTCTTCTATTTGAATACTAAGGTAGTACACTGTTAATTTTTAAAGTATTCCTTCATTCTCTGAATATTTATAGTGAACAAGTGTGTGTCAGGGAATCTTCTAGGTCTGATAATACAGAAGCAAACACAAACTCCTGTCTTCATAAACCTTACATCTTAAATAGGGGGACAGAAGATGACTGAATAAGCAAAATCCAGTTTATTGTATGAAGAGGCACTAAATGCTTGTTGGAGAAAAAAATACACCAAGGAGTGGTCATAAGAAATGTATACGTGTGCAGTGGTGTGTGTTTGGCAGGGGGATAGGAGTTTGAAATTTTAATAGGTGTCCAGAGAAAGGCTCAGTTAAGGGTTGAGGGAGTGAGCCACTGATATCTGAGTGAAGAATATTCCAGGTGACAGAAACAGAAACGTAAAGGCCCTATCCTGGGAGTACGCACTGCTGTGCATAGGATACTGGGAGGAAGTCCCTGTTGTTGCAGTATAGTTGGTGAAGAGGAGAGAGGAGGTAAGTAAGGTTAGAGAGAAGATGGATTCGGGCTGGGCAGGGTCTTGTAGACATTTTACACTTCATAAAATCCATATTGTGAGTCCTCTCCATAAATGCAAACTTTATTCCTCATGGACCCTGTGACCATTACTGTTCCCCCCCTCACTTTTTCTAGGGGCTGCTGACTTGTCTCCAATGGACTAAAGGACTTTCCACTGAGGGCTCCCCCCCTAGCTTTCTTCTCTCTTCCCTTTTTCCCTTTTCCCTCAGGATTTTCCTATTTCTTCTTTCACAATTGTTCTCCACTAATATGGTATCTTATCCTTATTTACAAACCTTTTCCTCCTATTTATGATAACTCCAGGGTATCAATTTTTGTAAGGCCACTGCATTTCTTATTCATTCTCAGGTCAAACGAGAACATGCACACTCAATAAATGTTTGCTGCAGGCATGGCAAGAGTGGAACTTCTCTCCATATATACCTCTGCACTTGAAAACCATTTTCTGATTTCCAGCTGTTTCCTTTCTTCCTTGGCTTTAGGCGCATGACATTAAATCAGACTCTCTCCCTGTGAAGCATCAGTCCATTTCCTCAATTTTTTTGTAAAGTTTACACCCCAGAGAAGCACACCTTTCTGTTCATTCTTCTCAGGACTCACCCTCAAGACTGCCCCAGGTGGCGTAACTTTGCTTGCTCACTGCTTTCACTTTGTCTTTGCTTCTCTTTGGCACGCAGCTCACCTCAGGGACAGTACAAATGGCACACATCTACCTTTGTGTACACATCCTCAACTGTTTTTTGTTGGTTTTCCTGTTAGCTAACAGAGTACAAGGAGGTTGTAGTACCCTCGATTTATAGAGCTAGAAACGATTCCAAGTAGTCCAACATTACTTGACACACAAAGAGGCAGGACTTTCATCTTTGCCCAACACACATAAAAGCAGAGTGCATGGGCTTGTGGTTGGGCTGCCATTTTTCTCACGTGTGTTTGCTTGAGCTGTTATTTCTTCCTCTTTGGAAACGTAATAATTATGTGAACATTTAGGTCATCCTAGATGCGTTGTTACCTTGTCTTAGCCATTTTCTACTTTTCTCTGTGAAAATTTTCTGAATAACCCCAGACAACCCTTCACTCTTTCACCCTGATCTGAGTTATTTTATCCTTCATGGTGGATACTGCTTATTTTGACATTAACCCAACATTGTCTAATACATGCATATTTATTTACACATATATATTTATATTTACTTCTGTGTTTTGTTCCTTTCATTAGATTGTTAGGTCCTAAGGGCAGAGTATCACCCTTGCTCTCTCTCTTTCTCTCTCTCAAAATCTATCTCTTTCTCCTTTGCATGCAGTAGAGTACTTAAAGTGATGGTTTTCTTTTCTTTTTTTTTTAAGTTTATTTATTTTTGAGAGATAGAGATAGAGAGAGAGAAGATATATAGAGTAACAACGGGAGAGGGGCAGAGAGATGGGGACAGAAGATCCGAAGCCAGCACCTCACTAAGAGTGGAGAGCCCATGGGGGGCTCAAACTCTTGAACACCAAGATCACATGACCTGAGGTGAACACTGAACCAACTGAGCCACCCAGGCACCCCAAGCGATGATTTTCTTAAAGGAAGTCCTCAATAGTAAATTTTAAAAATTTCCATAGAATATTATCTTTTTATTCAACTTTAAAATTCCTTTATTTATTGCCCCACCATTGGAACTACTGATGTGTCATATTAATGCCTCATTCCACATGGACTACGTGTCCCCTATTTTTTGGGGGAAGGGTATTCATCACTATTGATCCAGGAAAATCAACTTTGATTGCTTATTTTTCTGTGTATTTACTTTTCTTGAAATTTCCCCCATGCAGTTGAATTGTTTGTCTTCATAATCAGATTAAAACAACTAGTTTCTTCATTGTTCATCCTTCTTTTCTCTGGGTTATCTTCTTTTATACCATGATACACTACAAAGATAGCTTTTGTAGCTCATGTACCTTGATTTTCTGCAAATTTCAACTTAATAATTGTTCTCCCTTAACCAAAAAAAGTGGTTCTTATTCAAGAACACTTACAAATCTAATGCAAAACTGATAAACATTTCTTGTGAACAATTTGAAAAAATTACCCATTAAAATAGCCTGGAATATAATACAACTTCCTGGAGTTAACTATGGGCGTGTGTGTGTGTGTGTGTGTGTGTGTGTATAGTCTATTTCTATTTATAAATATATAATATACATCCTGTATTTTTTTAAAAAAAATTAATGTTTATTCATTTTTGAGAGAGGGAGAGAGAGAAAGAGAGAGAGAGAGAAAGAATGAGTGGGCGAGGGGGAGAGAGGGAGGGAGACACAGAATTCAAAATAGGTTCCAGACTCTCAGCTGTCACCACAGAGCCTGATGTAGGGCTCAAACTCACGAACCAGGAGATCATGACCTGAGCTGAAGTCGGACGCTTAACGACTGAGCCACCCAGGTGCCCTTACATCTTGTCTTATAAGTCATTTTCCCCATGGCATTAAATTGTCTTCTACTATGACATTTTTATATTATTTTTCATATCATTAGAACTATACTTATTTATTGGAAAGTACATAAATAAGAAAAAGAAAATAAAAATTGCTTTTAACCAACTACTCAGGATAAACACTGTTCATGTTTTCATCCATGTAGCATATAGTGAACTGTATTACATGTCATAATATATTTTCCACTACTCATTTTTAACACATTAGGGCAACATGTTCATACAATGTTTTACCCTATGTATATTAAGTGATTTGTTTGATCAAATTAGATTATTAAATATTAGTTCCCAATGCTTTTTTCTTACAATTCTACAATTAGCCTCACTGAAGATATATTTTGATTTACATTCCTGCTTTTATTATTTTTTAATCTTGATAAGTTCCTATCCTAAATTGAACTCCTAGGCTATGACCTATGTTGCTAAGCTGTCTAACTCCAATTCACAATTTACATGTGAATTGGGGTTAGAGTACATGTGAGTGCTCATTTACAAGCGATCCTGATATTATAGTTTTACCATGATTTTGTTTTTGTTTTTCTTTTCTTTTCCTTTTTTCTCTTATCTAAATTAATAGGCATAATGAGCTATCATATTGTCACTTTATATTTCCTGAAATAATAATGAAATATAAAATTTTTAAATGCATAGTGGGATATTTGTATTTCATCTTTTTAAAAAAAATTTTTTAATGTTTTATTTCTAGGAGAGAGAGAGAGTGAGCAGGGGAGGGTCAGAGAGAGAGGGAGTCACAGACTCTGAAGCAGGCTCCAGGCTCTGAGCTGGCAGTCAACACAGAGCCCAATGCGGGGCTCGAACCCACGGACCGTGAGATCATGACCTAAGCGAAAGTCGGACGCTTAACCAACTAAGCCACCCAGGCGCCCCTGTATTTCATCTTTTTGAAAACTGCTTGCTCTCATTGATTAGGATATTTTCTTCTTATTTGTTTTGGAGTCATCTCTTTATAGCAAAATTGGTAACTATCATATAGGTTGTAAGTGGTCTGTCTTCCTGATTTATTTTAAATTTACCTTTTCTATTTCCCATGATGATTTCTTACATGTATATACTTTATTTAGTCAAAATTATGGACTTATTTTGATACGTGTATTCAGGAAGATTACTCTATACTTGAGACTCAGTAAGCATTCAATTTTTTTTTTAATTACAGGGAATTAGGTATATGATGTGACATAGACAAGGTACTGTTTTTCCTGAAATGATGCAAACTGCATATTCTACTATTATTCCCATTATTCCATATAATCTACTATTCTTCACCAATTTGAAATTTACTTTGTAAAACACACGCACAAAATACTTCGTTCAGGTTTACGCAGCCTCACTCATATTTCTATTTATTTACGTTGCTTACGTAATGTAATTTACCTTTCTTCATTTGATTCCTAGCTAAGTTCATTTTTCCAGGGTCAAGATGTAGGTGTGTTATGCTTTGGCATCTGTGCAAGGAAATCCTCCCTTGCCTGCCCGCCTTCCCCAGCCTCGCCAGCCCGTCCTTAAGTTACAGAAGGCCATTGTCCATTCCCAATGTTGACGATCTCCTGACTTTCTACCACCGTAATCTAGTAAAGACTTTTGAGTTCTGCGTGCCTTTATTATTTCATCTCACATCCCTTCCTTTCCCCCAACACGTCACAAAATAGTTCGTGAACTCATTTCGTGCCCACTGCCTCACTTGCCCACTCCCTTTGTAAACTCGGAACCGTTATTTTGGCTTTCAGCAAACCTCAGGCCCACTTCTGCGCTCCGCTGTCGAATACCCGACCGCCTTCTCTGCCCCGGCGTCTTTGAGCTCGCGGCGTTCAGCTCCCTCCAGCGACTCCGGCTGTTCCGGTTCCGGCCGTATTCGGATTCGGTGTCGTGCAGTCTCTGCCAGCTCCGCGTGCACCGTGAGCTCCTCCATGTGTCTTCATAGTAACCGAGCTTCTCATTTGGGGCAGTAGAAGGGCCGTATTTTTCTCCGCATGTGATTTATTCCCATTGTGCTTCACCTGTTTTTGTGTAAATCGTTTAATATACTCCCAGGTTATCTGTAAAGCCCCGTCTGTATCTCAGCTGCTTCGCGTCCCTCCCCCCTCTGCCTTGTGTACATCAGTCGTGTTCTTGTTCCGCGGGCCCAGCTTGCTCACCGGATTTACGGCAGGTACTTTTTTTTTTTTTTTTTTTTTCTAGGAGAGAGAGAGAGGGACAGCGTGAGCAGGGGAGGGTCAGAGAGAGAGGGAGTCACAGACTCTGAAACAGGCTCCAGGCTCTGAGCAGGCAGTCAGCACAGAGCCCGACGCGGGGCTCGAACCCACGAACCACGAGATCATGACCTAAGCGAAAGCCGGACGCTTAACCGACTAAGCCACCCAGGCGCCCGGGCAGTTACTTTTTGGCTCTCTTAAGGTAAGTCGGCTTTTGTTCTTCACACTTTTCTACGGATGTTTCTGCTTTTTTATCCAGGTGTACTTGTTTCCTATCTCATTTTTTGATAAATGATTTGTTTTTACCTTTACTATTCTTTTTCATTTAGTTTTTATCTGTCTTGTGAAGTCTCTTGTATTTCACATTGCGATTTTTTTATCCAGTCCCTTGTCACCTTTGTGTCTGAAGAGCATTGTTTTCTTTAATCCTTCATTTGTTATTGCAGCTGAGCTAAATCACCTTAGATTTTCATAAATGATCCATTTTTCCATTTAAAACCATAGTAAGTACTTTTATATATATTTGCTTTTTAAAGTGATGGTCCATCTGATTTTTTTTGTACCTGGTATTTTATTTTGCTTCAACTTGTTTTATGTGTCTGTCACACTTAGTATTCTTCAATTGCTTATGGATTCTGTATTTTTCTCTTTTAAATTTTGAGAACATACAGCTTTCTAATAGAGTCAGAGTGTATTATTTTTTTACTTCTTAAATCCTAAATTGCTTTATTAATTAAAAAATAATTTATTCAAATGGAACCTTACAGAAAACCTGTTTATTTATCCACATGCCTAGAACAAAGAGGGATACACAAGAAGTGTTGGGGGAATATTAACCTGGTCTATATGAGCCAGGGAAGACTTGAGGGAGAGTAAGAATTTGAGCAAGACTTAAAGGATTGATAGTTCTGGATGGTTTAAGAAGAGGGGAGGTTGCCAAGCACCACAATTTTTCTTTTATGGTTTAGACAACAATTCACAGTTTTGGAGACAGACCAAACTAAAGTGATTCAAAGACAGTCAGGCACTAGCAATCACCAGCATATCAAGTTCCATTTATTTTCAATGAGAAGATAGAGGAAAAAGTATACAGGAAAGATGAACTGAAAAATGACCTTTAAAACCATTAACATGAGGGTAATCCCTATAAAGGATTTCAGCGATCTGTCCCAGGTGGTTAGAGAGCTACAACTTCCTTTCCATTGTCACCACTTTTCTTACTTTATAAGTTTTTGTTGCCTTGTTTCCACTTTTAATCTGTTATGCTAAATTCATCCGACCAATCTGTAAATCAGTAAATATTGTTCAGTAAAATGCCACATGATGTAGGAGATATAAAGAAGACTGCTTTCAAGGAACTTTTAGTCTCATACAGAAGCAAATAATTAAACTTATAATTTTGAGTAAGTATAGAACATAAATGATAAAATATTGATGAAGCTTTAAGGCTGTATGAATTCAGAAAATACAAAAAAAAAAAAAAAAAACCCCACCACCAAAATATAGAAAATAACTAGTGGTAGGATTAATCAACAAAGTTATTATGTAGGTACAGAAATTTAGCTGGACCCTGAGAGGTTTAGGTAAGTAGAGCAGAGCAAAAGAACATTCCAAGGATAATAATATTTAAAAATAATTACATGTCTTAGCTCATGAAGTCAGTGATGAGTATGACATACATATACATTAACTTGTTAATTTATCTAACCATCAATTATTGAGCATGTTTTACATGCCAAGTTTTCTTTTCAGCCCTGAAACATAGTGAGGAACAAGATAGATAATATCTTTGCACAAATGAGGTTTAGATGCTCTGGAGAGGCCCTACTCAATAAAGAAAAGAACAAATGAGCAGAGAAGCTGATATTAAATAGCATAAGTGCTATGAAGAAATTAAATAGAATGATGTGATAGGGAGAGAGTGAGGAAGGAATATAATTAGTTTGGGTAATCAGGAGCTACCTCCAAATGATGAGAACTCAGTCACATGAAAATGGAGACAATGTATTCCAGAGAGTAGGAGAAGCTCTTAGGTAGAACTTAAGGCTTGAATGTGATTGGATTTATTGTAATAGTAGAAATAAGAGTCATGGTTGCGGTAGAAGGTAGTAGGAAATAAGATATGAGAGGTAGATGTGGGCAGACCATACGGGGCCATTCTGGCCACAATAAAGTGTCTATTGATCATTAAAGGCACTGCTTTGTGAATTGTTCAAATTTTTGCCCATTGTTTGTTTTTTTTTTTTTAAATAAATGTGGCTTTCTTTTTTCTCTTTTTTAAAAAGACTTTTTTTGCATTTATTTATTTTTGAGAGACAGAGCGTGAGCGGGGGAGGGGCAGAGAGAGAAGGAGACACAGAAACCGAAGCAGGCTTCAGGCTCTGAGCAAGCATTCAGCACAGAGCCCGATGCGGGGCTCGAACACACAAACTGTGAGATCATGACCTGAGCTAAAGTCAGACACTTAACCAACTGAGCCACCCAGGCGCTCCAGTTTTCGTTTTTTTTAATATTTATTTCTAAAGTGAGAGAGAGAGAGAGTGTGTGTGTGTTTGTGTGTGTGTGTACGAGCAAGGGAGGGGCTGAGAGAGAAAGAGAGGGAGAGAGAGAATCCCAAGCAGGCTCTTGTCATCAGGATGGAGCCCCACACGGGGCTTGAACCCACAAACCTCTAGAGCATGACCTGAGCTGAAATCAAAAGTCAGATACTTAACTGACTGAGCAACACAGGCAACCTGTGGTTTTCTTATTATTATCTTGCTTTGAGGTTTATATAACTTTTAAATCTGAAGCTAGATGCCTTTTATCAGTTTTATAAAAATTTTCAAGCAAAATATCTTTTTAAAAAATGTTTATTTACCTATTTTGAGAGAAAGAGAGAATGTGAGCTGCGGAGGGGCAGAGAGAGAGGGAGGCAGAGAATCCCAAGCAGACTCTATACTATCAGCATAGAGCCCAATGCAGAGTTTGAACTCATTAACCTTGATATCATGACCTGAGCCAAAATCAAGAGTTGGATATTTAATTGACTGAGCCAAACAGGCACCCCCAAATTAACTTTTAATATTGCTTTTGTCTAAGTTTTTCTCTTCCTTTGTACCTCCCATTACATATGTGTTAGACCTCTGCACCCTGTTTCATATGGTTCTTAAATCCTTTTCCATATTTTCTACCACTTTATTTCTTTGTGATTTGATCTGTTTCTATCAAAATTTTCATCCAGTTGACTAGCTCTAATCCTTTCTGCTGTTTTATTTATTGAGTATTTTTTAGTTGTGTGATTTCTATTTGATTATTTTTCTAGAACCTATTAAATAGTTGTTTTAAAATCTCTTTGCTTGAATGTATTATATGGTTGTTTTAAAGTCTTTGCCTACTTCAATTTCTGAACTATTTGTGGGTCTGTGTATATGGTCTGTTTATTTTTTTTAATTTGTGATCATAACCCTACTTCTTGGTATGCTTGGTAATTTTTTATTAAAATTAAAAATGGATATGGTATATTGGCAATTTTAGATTCTTCAGGAAACTCTCTTTTGTCCTAGAGAGGATTTGATTGTTTTCTGTCAGGGAAATAGAAGACATACAGAATATCTTTAGTGAAGTCAAATCCCTTTTGAGTTTGCCTTATCCTTAGAGTTTAGCTTATTATAAGTCTTAACTGACCTGGGATGTTTATCATGGCCCTTGTTCATTAATGAATCTTGAACTCTATATCCAGTACTAGGAAATTGCTGATGTTTCTGTTTGGCTTTTTGACTTCTTAAAGTTTTGTTGGTTGGGAGAAAGATCTAGACTATAGATAAAATTTTGAACCATTGTCATAGATGTGTTAACTGAGGGTCATCGGGGTGGCTCAGTGGGTTAAGTAACCAACTTCAGCCTAGGTAATAATCTTGCCATTCCTGAGTTTGAGTCTTGTGTCAGGCTCTGTGCTGACAGCTCAGATCCTGGAGCCTATTTCAGATTCTGTGTCTCCCTCTCTCTCTGCCCCTTCCCCACTCATGCTCTGTCCCTCTTTCTAGAAAGAAAGAAAGAAAGAAAGAAAGAGAGAGAGAGAGAGAGAGAGGAAGGAAGGAAGGAAGGAAGGAAGGAAGGAAGAGGGGGGAGGGAGGGAAAAGAAAAGAAAAAGAAAGAAAGAAAAAAAGGAAAGGAAAGAAAGTTAACTGACAGCATGCACAAAGAGAAGAGTGTTTTGGACAAATGTGGAAGGATTAAGATGGAAAAGTAAAGAGAGACAGAACTCTGAGGAATACCAACAATGCGCCCATGACTACTTCAGGACTAAGAAGCAAAGAAGAGTAAGAAGAGGTAAGAGGAGAAGCCAAGAGTGCAGTTTAATGGAAGCCAAAGACAGAG